GGCACCGAGCCCTGGCTATTTTTTGGTTGCAGCCATCATTGTTCTTTGGCAGGCCAAGGCTGGACTCGAACCCGCCACCTTAGGTGTATATGAGTGGTGCCTTAGCCGCTTGGAAAGTACACTCTATTTAGGGCTGTCACTTGTAGAAAATCTCTAGACCCAGACTTTTTGTATAATCCCCCCTAAAATTAAACAAGATGAAAAACCCATAACCCTGTTTAAAATGTCTGAATTCCCAGCAAAGAGACCTAATTGCAAGGCAGCCTTCTAGTCCCTACATTCTCTTAGGGGACACTTAAAGCACACTTTTGTGGCCATCAAATAACCTTCAAGGTATTTGAGGTAGCAATTTTACTTCTGAAAATTCCTATTGAGGAAATGACAGAGGATATGTGCACTGCAGTATTATCAACAATAGTAAGAAATTAGAAATAATTTTAGTGTCCAACAAAAATTCGCATGATGAGTAATATATGACAGAACCATGCAAAGGACTACTATACAGTTATTGAAACAGATATTATAAAAACTACTTTGAAATTATAGATTAAAACAGATATCATAAAAACTACTTTGAAATTATAGACTACATGCTCATGAGAGAAAAACTCAAGTAAGTTCAAGAAGTGGGGGGAGTCTGGCAACTTCCTGGGTGAAGGACCCACAACTTGGACTTTTGCATGCACCCTCATATTAATCTGAGATTTAAAAAAAAGAAAAGGGTGTTATATGTAGACGTTTACCAACATAGAAAGAAGTTACCTTTTTTTCTTTTTTTGAGACAGAACCTCAAGCTATTGCCCGGGGTAGAGTGCCGTGGCGTCATAGCTCACGGCAACCTCCATCTCCTGGGGTTAAGTGATTCTCTTGCCTCAGCTTACCGAGTAGCTGGGACTGCAGGTGTCTACCACAATGCCCAGCTATTTTTTTGTTGCAGTTTGGCCAGGGCTGGGTTCAAACCCATCACCCTCTGTATATGGGGCCAGCGCCCTACCCACTGAGCCACAGGCACTGCCCTTTTGTTTTGTTTTTGAGATTGGGTTTCACTATGTTGCCTAGGCTAGAGTCCAGTGGCTGGCTATTCACAGGTGATCATAGAACACACTACAGCCTAGAACTCCAGGGTTCAAGTGATCCTCCTGCTGCAGCCTCCCAACCAGCTGGGACTACAGGTGTACACCACTGTGCCCAGCTTAGAAGTTCACATTTTAATGTTAGGTCAAAGAAGCAGGTATTAAGAAAGCATCTTCATGTGTTATGGCCATATTATTAGTATCTTGCTAATTGGGAAGTAAGATAGTTAAAAAACAAGACAACCTGAGTATTAAGACTGGGGGAGGGGCATAGAAGACTGGGATGTTTTGGGAGCCCTATGTCATGCTTCCCAGTGAAAGCACTACAACAAAGAATGAGCAGGCTGCTGAAGCAAAAAGAAACTAGTAATATTTTTTAAGCTAGGGAGCTAAGAAAACACAGAACCTTGGTATTCTGCTCACTGGACTATGTCTTTAAACAGGACCTACACCAAGGATCTGTAAGGTAGTGTTTGGCTGGTCCACAGATAAGAACTGCAGAGGATAAGATACACAGTGACCAACATATGATCCCCACCCCTATACCTCAAGTCACTCCTGCCAAGTAGACAGATGCAAGGGCACTTCCCAGAGCACTACTGTCAAAGGCTTTCTGTCCTGCAATCTAGATATAGCTGGAGAAAACCAAGGGCTCGAGACAGCTTGCTTCACTCAGAACGGGAGTCCACATTTCCCTTCCATGCAAGGTAAGACAAATCTGATCCCCAAGCATGTTGCTTGGTATATTCTTGTTGAGGACCACACAGACTTCAGACCTAGGTTTCCTGAATTATAGCTGGTATTTCTTATTTGTCCATAACAAAATCATTCATCCCCAATAGACCACTATCACAAAAGTAATAAAGATGTCTCAAGCTGTTGCCCTAGGCAGAGTACTGTGGTGTCATAGCTCATAACCACCTCCAACTCTTGGGCTTAAGCGATTCTCTTGCTTCAGTCTCCCAAGTAGCTGGGACTATAGGAGCCCACCACAACACCCAGCTATTTTTTGTTATAGTTGTCATTGTTGTTTAGCAGGCCTGGGCCGGATTCAAACCCACCAGCCCCAGTGTATGTGGCTGGCACCATAACCACTGAGCTATGGACGCCAAGTTACTTTTTCTGTTGTAGTTGTCATTATTGTTTTAGCAGACCCGTGCCGGGTTCGAACCCACCGGTCTCGGTGTATGTGGCCGGCGCCTTACCCACTGAGCTATGGGTGTCACCCAATAAAGACATCTTGTTTAAACTTTAACAAATCCTTCCTTGAATGCAGCTTTTGTCTACAAATACTTTTTTTTTCTTTTGAGACAAAGTGTCAAGCTGTTGCCCTGAGTAGAGTGACATGGCATCATATCTTACGGCAACCTCCAATTCTTGGGCTAAAGCAATCCTCATGTCTCAGTTTTTCTATTTTTAGTAGAGATAGGGTCTTGCTTTTGCTCAGGCTGGTCTCGAACTAGTGAGCTCAGACAATGCACTGGCCACGCCCTCCCAGAGTGTTAGGATTATAGGCCTGAACCACTGCACCTGGCCTGTCTACAAATATTTTTTAAAAAACATTAATGGGGGCTCAGCGCCTGTAGCTCAACCGGCTAAGGCGTCAGCCACGTACACCTAAGGTGGTGGGTTCAAATCCAGCCCCGACCCGCCAAACAATAATGACGGCTGCAACCAAAAAATAGCCGGGCATTGTGGCGGGCACCTGTGGTAGGCAGAGGCAGGAGACTCGCTTGAGCCCAGGAGTTGGAGGTTGCTGTGAGCTGTAATGCCAC